TTAGACTTTCATGTTCATTTGGATAGTTATGTTTTAATTACATAACCTGAAATGTTTTATGAGAAGTTCATAAATTTCAAGGACAAAATTGTAATAAGCGAGATTGAAATAACCAATTTTAAATTTTGATCAACTCAAAATAAATAAATAAATAAATTATAGTTATCGTTCTAAATAGACGCACTGCTCTCTAGAAACCAGAATAAAAATTTATCCCCTCATTTTTGTTCGAAACAAAAGAAAAAACTAAGCAAGAATAAAGAACAAGCGAGCGAGAGAGGAAGAGGAGTGAGAGCGAGAGTATAAGAGAATGCGGAGGAAGAAGGAAGGAGAGAGTTTCATACATTGCATGCACAACCCTAGTTGAAAGCTTTGCATGCTTTGTTGCTATGTGAGCAGCACCATGAGCGAGGGAAATGTCTTCTGTGAAGAGTAAGGGAGGTGAGCCGCAGAAGTAGCATCTTATGTACCGTGTAAAGGTAGAGAGAAAAAAGATCTTTGCGTGCGCCAAAGGAAAGAAGAAGAAGTCTCGCATGCAGGAAGAAGCAATAGAGTGGATCGCGCAAGAGTAGCATCGCGCGGCTTTGCGTGAAAAAGTAGGCGAATCGTGCAAGAGAAAAAGAAATAACAAAGCCATCGTGTGCAAGAGAAAGGAGAGAGGCTCTGGTCAAGCGTCTCGCATGAAAGAGGAGGAGGCAGAGCACTCCTTGGGCTTCGACGTAGTGCGAGTGCCTAGAAAAAGAGGATTGATGCTGTTGTTGTGAATTTAAAGTTGAACCGAACCGCTTCAAAGAGAAAGGAGTAGTTGAATGCCTATTATGCGGAAAGGAAGAGCTAACCGAGGCCTAATATGAGTTACAAGGGAAGATCGAGCCTTTTGTGAGCTCTGTGAGGTTTCGAGCAAAAGAAAAGGGAGGAAGGAGGTAGCCCATACAAACAATGTCAATATACCCGTGAGTGTAGATATTTTCCTACCATCACAAACAATTGTGATATTTCGATCACTAACCGTTGTACTAAAGAGAGAACGCCCAAGCAGATAATAGCAATTAGATATTATTTTCATATACTTCAAACTATTTTTATAAAATTATAACTTACAATTGATTTTTTTTATTTTTTGTCATATCAACCTTTAGAATATCTAAATTAAACATCTAAAACGATACACATCACAATTCACCCAAAAGCAAACCCAAATCAAGATAGTTGAAGTTGCCTTCCTCCAGTAGGTATGCAGATGAAATATAGTACCAGGTTCTGCATAAATTAGGCTGAAAAAGAAAGAAATAGGACCAGCACAAGCAAACCTAGTTGACTATCTTCCTCTGCACATGGGAGCACAACATAGCTGCTCATAAGTCTATTTTTCCACAACTCTACCTCATTCATCTTGAGCCCATGTTTTAACCCAACAAACAGCCTAGGTGGCTTAATGACGAGCCTATAAAGGGTTAAGTGATCGTGAAATCACATCCCTTAAAGACTTTTCAAATGTCATATAACTGCCTTTGGAGCTTGCATAGCCATCAAAATGTTACATGTCAGATGTGAAGTTTAGTCAAATTTTCATAGGAGGATTTCATCAGAAAAAATTGGTGGAAAAAAAGCTCTACCCCTCTTACAGTTAGTATGAATAGAATAAACAGACACCAAATATTATACCACAAACATAAGACTATAAAAGGGGTGATAAAATTAAGGAAAAAGAACAGAAAAAGAAACTCGCTTGCTGTACATGCGTGTATATATAATGAACAAACATCAAATATTATACCACAAACTTACGACTATAAAAGGGGTGATAAAATTAAGAAAAAAAGAACAGAAAAAGAAACTCACTTACTGTAAATGCGTGTATATATAGCATAAATTTATGGAATATAATAAAAAGAACAAGCATAGAATCATTAGCGAACTTGAATCAATAGTTAGAAAATCCTTGAACAAGCATGGAAACATTAGCCAAGCAAAATAAAATCATAATGAAAGAATAATATGAAAAACAAACCTTAGAGGACTTTCATAGCTTCTAGGATATATTTTATCAGAAACAATGTCCAATAGATTGGAAATTGCGGTTCTCCTACTAATGCCCGTTATTTCAATTCCTTGGTCACCTATAGAAGGCCAGACAGATGATAAGACTGCTGCTCTGAGAACTGCATGCAGTAGATCATGAAAAAATCCTGTAGAGAAAAGCACTGTCAATTTCATGAAAAGCAACACACAGAAGTCATTCAGCACATAGCAGCAATAGGCAAAAAAACGCACAATGGTTACCAAGACAAATTCAATAGGGAAAATTCAAAGTCAGACCATGAACTCATATTAAATAGCAACAGTACAATTCAGGCAAACCCTTAATATAGAGTAAAAAACTATATATATATATATATATATATATATAATTTTATTTTTATTTTTTTGAAAAAGCTCAAGGGCAAATATATTGATATGGAAAAGATACAAAAATGTTGAATGAGATGGCCTAAAAGAAAGTCCAACTCATACAATACAACACACACAAAACCTAAATAAAGCAAAGATACATAAAGACAAAAAACCAAAAAGTCACAAAAGAGCACAAAAGTGCTAGGGACGTTCCACTTTAGTCCTCCTGCCTCGAGATCTCGGAAGTGAGCCGGTTAACAATTTTGTAAGATGAGTATCATTGTCCGTAGTAACCAAAGTATCATCCATCAGATTCCTAAATAGAGTAGATCTCCATTCTTCTTCTTCTTCCCGTAGTAACCAAAGTATTATCTATCAGATTCCTGAGCTAGAGAAGATCCTCATTCTTCTTCTTCTTTCTGGATGTATAGACCTGTCATTCCTCATCCGATGATTTACTCATCTGATCAGTAGATTTCAAAGGTGGTCGGACAGGTGTAGGTCGTTGCACATCATGATCCCCATGAGCCTGAGTAACATTAACATCTTTCTGGACCTGATGAAGCGGTGGTGAAGCAGTAGAAATATTTATACTTGTATTATCGGCGATAGGTTCTATGGCAGGCGGAGTCTGAAGAATCTCTCTCTCCCCCACGATAGAAGGTTCCAAAGACTGGGGAGCTACAACTGGGGACTGAATGGTTGTCATATTGACTACGGGGATATTGACGTCTTCCAGGGTATCCTTCTGATGATCAATAGTGTCAAAAACTTGGTGTTGATCGGGATGAGATAGAATCCCAGCCTCTAGAGGAGCACTTTATTTTTTTTTTGTCTGAGGTGGGGGTGTAGATAGTGACATTTAGAACTGGAGTGGCCGAACATACGACAGTTCGAACAATACGACGGAAAAGGCTCAATCTCTACCTTCTGTCAATATCTATGGTGTTGTGTGCCCAACCAGATGTCCTCAGAAGCGGGTGAAGTGATGTCTCTTTCAGACCAGGGAGGCGAATCCAAACCGGAATGATTGACGGTTCCGCATATGGGTCAAAATCCACAAACCATTTCAGAATCTCCATTGTTATGTTATCAATCCAGATTATCCTTCTGGAAAATAATACAGAAGCGGTTGATCCACTCAGCTTTCTATACGAAAGAGTTGATGTCGGTTGCGAGCCAAAGTAACCGAAGTTGCGTCTGCATAAATTGGGACTTGCCCTCGTCCTTCACTAGCGCCTTCTTTGCTCAACAGAGACTCTTGCTTCTGAAGTGCAGCTGTAATTGGGATCAGGAGATGAAAGATTCACAGAAAAAAAGAAGATGTTGGAACTGCTTATGGACTTCCGAATATATATATATATATATATATATAGAGAGAGAGAGAGAGAGAGAGAGAGAAATTAGTCTAGAACTCGATGGAGCATAATAAACAAAGAAAATAGTTTTCTAAGGCAAAAATTTCATTAACAAGGTATCTAAAATAATTTTCTAAGGCAACAACTTCATTACCAAAGTGTACTATTAATTTTCTCGAAACAAGCAAGATAAGCTCAGGTTTAAAACCTCAAAGTCCAGGCAAAACTGACCACTGCTCATATACAGCCAAATATGCAATGCTTGCTCCCATGAAGCATGGAAAGTGACACAAAACATGAGCACAGCATAGACATAAGAAGAAAACATAAAATGAAATGCCGGAAACCGCACACCATGAATACAATATTTTCCTTTATAAAGTATTAATATAACATGCATTATCAAGGCACCCAATATTTAATATTTTCCATAAAAAAAAAAAACAAAACACAATGAGGTATAGCATAGTATTTGTAAAAATAGCTCAAGGACCAACAAATGAAAACTAATGTTACTTAAACTTAAATTACATTTCAGGCAACAACTTGATAAAGAGTTAAAAACGATATATATATATATATATATATATATATATATATATAAGTCTAAAACTCAATGGAGCGTAATAAACAAATAAAATAGTTTTCTAAGGCAAAAACTTCATTAACAAGGTATCTAAAATAATTTTCTAAGGCAACAACTTCATTACCAAGGCGTACTATTAATTTTCTCGAAACTAGCATGAGAAGCTCAGGTTGGAAACTTCAGAGTCCGGGCAAAACTGACCACTGCTCATATATAGCGAAATATGCAATGCTTGCTCCCCACGAAGTGTGGAAAGTGACACAAAACATGAGCACAGCATAGACATAAGAAGAAAAAATGTATACATATAACTATATACATGTATATTTGTAAAGATAGCTCAAGGATCAACAAATGAAAACTAATGTTAGTTCAACTTAAATTACATTTCAATATTTCATCAATTATGCATAATCCATAATAATACACACATGGAGGAGATGAGTTTAGGACCACTTTACGGAGGAACTGCTTTCTTTAGCACGACAGTTGGAAGGTTGGTTACCTACTCTAGGAATGAAGCTCCATATAGCACACAAATTTTGCAATATATTTCTGATCTTCTTAATTCAGTGAATCAGGTTCCAAGTGATGACAGCTTTATCTTGTATATATGTATGTATGTGTGTGTGTGTGTGTTCATACATATATATATATCAATTCCTTGGTCACCTATAGAAGGCCAGACAGATGATAAGACTGCTGCTCTGAGAACTGCATGCAGTAGATCATGAAAAAATCCTGTAGAGAAAAGCACTGTCAATTTCATGAAAAGCAACACACAGAAGTCATTCAGCACATAGCAGCAATAGGCAAAAAACGCACAATGGTTACCAAGACAAATTCAATAGGGAAAATTCAAAGTCAGACCATGAACTCATATTAAATAGCAACAGTACAATTCAGGCAAACCCTTAATATAGAGTAAAAAACTATATATATATATATATATATATATATAATTTTATTTTTATTTTTTTGAAAAAGCTCAAGGGCAAATATATTGATATGGAAAAGATACAAAAATGTTGAATGAGATGGCCTAAAAGAAAGTCCAACTCATACAATACAACACACACAAAACCTAAATAAAGCAAAGATACATAAAGACAAAAAACCAAAAAGTCACAAAAGAGCACAAAAGTGCTAGGGACGTTCCACTTTAGTCCTCCTGCCTCGAGATCTCGGAAGTGAGCCGGTTAACAATTTTGTAAGATGAGTATCATTGTCCGTAGTAACCAAAGTATCATCCATCAGATTCCTAAATAGAGTAGATCTCCATTCTTCTTCTTCTTCCCGTAGTAACCAAAGTATTATCTATCAGATTCCTGAGCTAGAGAAGATCCTCATTCTTCTTCTTCTTTCTGGATGTATAGACCTGTCATTCCTCATCCGATGATTTACTCATCTGATCAGTAGATTTCAAAGGTGGTCGGACAGGTGTAGGTCGTTGCACATCATGATCCCCATGAGCCTGAGTAACATTAACATCTTTCTGGACCTGATGAAGCGGTGGTGAAGCAGTAGAAATATTTATACTTGTATTATCGGCGATAGGTTCTATGGCAGGCGGAGTCTGAAGAATCTCTCTCTCCCCCACGATAGAAGGTTCCAAAGACTGGGGAGCTACAACTGGGGACTGAATGGTTGTCATATTGACTACGGGGATATTGACGTCTTCCAGGGTATCCTTCTGATGATCAATAGTGTCAAAAACCCCCAGCCTCTAGAGGAGCTCTTTATTTTTTTTTTGTCTGAGGTGGGGGTGTAGATAGTGACATTTAGAACTGGAGTGGCCGAACATACGACAGTTCGAACAATACGACGGAAAAGGCTCAATCTCTACCTTCTGTCAATATCCATGGTGTTGTGTGCCCAAATAGATTTCCTCATAAGCGGGGTCCTCAGAAGCGGGTGAAGTGATGTCTCTTTCAGACCAGGGAGGCGAATCCAAACCGGAATGATTGACGGTTCCGCATATGGGTCAAAATCCACAAACCATTTCAGAATCTCCATTGTTATGTTATCAATCCAGATTATCCTTCTGGAAAATAATACAGAAGCGGTTGATCCACTCAGCTTTCTATACGAAAGAGTTGATGTCGGTTGCGAGCCAAAGTAACCGAAGTTGCGTCTGCATAAATTGGGACTTGCCCTCGTCCTTCACTAGCGCCTTCTTTGCTCAACAGAGACTCTTGCTTCTGAAGTGCAGCTGTAATTGGGATCAGGAGATGAAAGATTCACAGAAAAAAAGAAGATGTTGGAACTGCTTATGGACTTCCGAATATATATATATATATATATATATAGAGAGAGAGAGAGAGAGAGAGAGAAATTAGTCTAGAACTCGATGGAGCATAATAAACAAAGAAAATAGTTTTCTAAGGCAAAAATTTCATTAACAAGGTATCTAAAATAATTTTCTAAGGCAACAACTTCATTACCAAAGTGTACTATTAATTTTCTCGAAACAAGCAAGATAAGCTCAGGTTTAAAACCTCAAAGTCCAGGCAAAACTGACCACTGCTCATATACAGCCAAATATGCAATGCTTGCTCCCATGAAGCATGGAAAGTGACACAAAACATGAGCACAGCATAGACATAAGAAGAAAACATAAAATGAAATGCCGGAAACCGCACACCATGAATACAATATTTTCCTTTATAAAGTATTAATATAACATGCATTATCAAGGCACCCAATATTTAATATTTTCCATAAAAAAAAAAAACAAAACACAATGAGGTATAGCATAGTATTTGTAAAAATAGCTCAAGGACCAACAAATGAAAACTAATGTTACTTAAACTTAAATTACATTTCAGGCAACAACTTGATAAAGAGTTAAAAACGATATATATATTATATATATATATATATATATAAGTCTAAAACTCAATGGAGCGTAATAAACAAATAAAATAGTTTTCTAAGGCAAAAACTTCATTAACAAGGTATCTAAAATAATTTTCTAAGGCAACAACTTCATTACCAAGGCGTACTATTAATTTTCTCGAAACTAGCATGAGAAGCTCAGGTTGGAAACTTCAGAGTCCGGGCAAAACTGACCACTGCTCATATATAGCGAAATATGCAATGCTTGCTCCCCACGAAGTGTGGAAAGTGACACAAAACATGAGCACAGCATAGACATAAGAAGAAAAAATGTATACATATAACTATATACATGTATATTTGTAAAGATAGCTCAAGGATCAACAAATGAAAACTAATGTTAGTTCAACTTAAATTACATTTCAATATTTCATCAATTATGCATAATCCATAATAATACACACATGGAGGAGATGAGTTTAGGACCACTTTACGGAGGAACTGCTTTCTTTAGCACGACAGTTGGAAGGTTGGTTACCTACTCTAGGAATGAAGCTCCATATAGCACACAAATTTTGCAATATATTTCTGATCTTCTTAATTCAGTGAATCAGGTTCCAAGTGATGACAGCTTTATCTTGTATATATGTATGTATGTGTGTGTGTGTGTGTTCATACATATATATATATATACACACATACATATATATATATATATATATATATACACACACGCGCGCGCCAAACTAAAAAATTCATTGATGGGAAGAAGATACAAAGAATTTAGTGAGCTGGAGCTAGGAACCCGCTCACAAGGTATATAAGATTCAAAAGGTAATAAAAAAGTACAGTATACCCCAAAAAAACTAGGCAATTTCCCGAAAAAGATAAAAATGGCCTTCAAGCTTCTCGAGAGCTTAATCATGATGAGTGGGTTTTCCTCTCTCTCGGATCTAGAGAGGGAATCAGGCACCAAACTGTGATGCGGGCATCCACCCAAAACAAGCAAAGCATCCTCCTGTAAATTCCTGAGTTCTTTACTTTTTTTTTTCTTCTTCTTGGATTTATAGACATGTCAATCATCTTCCAAGGGTTGTCCCTACTTATCACTGAGTTGATCATCAATGGGAGAAAACTCTATCTGTTGCATACCTTGAACTTGGCACTCCGCCAAGGTTTGAGGGCTCTCAACATCAACAGTAATTGTTTCCATATATATGTATGTATACATAAGTATATATATGTACCCATATGCATGTATGCATATGTCCACATATGCACGTATGCATATGTATCTAGATATGTATGTATACATATGTATATGTACATACATATATACATATTTAATTATATATAATACATACATGCATATATATCTATTTGTACATACATAAATTTATATCTATATGTAAATACATACATACATACATATGTAATAACTGATGCTAAATAATAATAATAATAATATAAAGTGTAAAAAAGTAGTAGAACCTGATAGTATTCCAATAGAATTATGAAAATGTCAGAACTGAAAATTTCTTCGCTTATCAATTTTTTTAATATCATTTTAAAAACTAAAAATGTCAAATGAGTGAAAAAATAATCTATCGGGTTCCTATTTTTAAGAATAAAAGAGATGCACAACAGCATGCAAATTATAGAGACACTAAGTTAATATGTCATACATTAAAGTTATGGGAGAAAATAATTAAATGTAGGATATAACGTGCTACAAAATTATCTCAAAATCAGTTTGGATTCATGTCGGACAAGCCTACAATAAAAGTTGGACATTTATTGAGAGGTTTCACAAAAAGTAGAGAGAGAAAAGAGAATCTATATAAGATTTTAATGATTTAGAAAAAGTTAGGATAAGATTCCAAAAGAAGAACTTAGAGAATTAAAGAAATGAAAGGTGTTGATATTGCTTATATTCAAGTAATTAAAAATAGGTATGCTAGAGTTGTAATTTGTGTTCAAACACAAGGGGAATTGACCAAGTATTTTTCTATATTAGTTGGATTGCATCAGAGATTGGCTTTAAGCCCGTATCTTTTTGCATTAGTTATGGATATTATTAATAGACAATTACAAAAGGATGTACATTGGTCTATGTTTTTCACTAATAATATATTTCTTGTGGAGAAGACGAGAGAATTCAAGAAAACTTAATTTATGAAGTTAATTTTATAATCTAAAGGCTTTCGTTTAAATAGATCTAAAACTGAATACATGGAATGTAACTTTAGTAGTAGTAGATCTTATGACGAGTTTGTAATAATTAATAATCAAGTCATTAAATGGAGTAAATGTTTTAGATAGTTGAGGTCTATTGGTCAGGGCGATGGTGATATAAATAGGGATGTTATTAGTAGAATTCAACTTGGATGTTTGAAGTTGAGGAATGTATCAAGCATATTGTGTGATAGAAAACTGTTGCTTGGACTAAAATGGAAAATTTTATAAGATGAAGGTGAGACCTGCAACGCTTTATGGAACAAAATGTTGACCTGTTAAAGAGAAGCATAAAATTAAGTTGAGTGTTGTTGAGATGAGAATGTTCAGGAGGATGAGTGCTTTTATACTTAAAGATAAAATGTGAAACAAATATATTAGTGAAATGGTTGGAGTGACTCCAGTAACAGATAAGATTGGAGAGAGTGTCTTAAATGGTTTGGCCACGTTAAATGTCGACCATCTGATGACCTTGTTAGAAGAGTATATGTTTTAGATTTGATTTGTGTTAAGAAAGGTAGAATTAAACCTAAAAAGACATGGTCATGTTGAATAAAAAATGATCTTAATTTATTAGAACTAAATGAAAATATAACACTAAATATGACAACATAAAAAAAGATTCATGCAGCCGACCACAATTAGTGGAATAAAGACTTCTTGTTGTTGTTGCTCTCCTTCTTGATATATATTTTACTACATATATATAATAATAATAATACTAATAATAAGAAGAAGAAGAAAAGAGAACAAATAAAATAAGAATCCCTCCAAATAGTGAAGGATAAAAAATAGAATATATAAATAAAAGGAAACATAATTAATAAAATATATAATTGAGAGAAGAAAATTAGCACTTTCCTACATATATACATACATATATATATATATATACACACGCGCGCCTAAAATAAAAATTTATTGATCTAGAAAAAGATTGTGTGTGTCCAACCTATTTCAACACATGTTGGTCATGTTGGGGCATGCCATTGCTTCGTTTTATTACGATATTGAAATAAATGCATTGGATACGATGTATAGCATGTCAAATAATGTTATGGTCTCTCGATGACATAACAAGTTTGCCACATGACCAACATGAATATGAAAGGCTTTTTGAAGTGTTTATGCATCATAGCTTGCTCCGCAAGCCTTAGTTAGCACCATTGCAAGAGATAGATTGTAATAACTAAAAATAATAATACATATTATTATTATTATTATTATCGGGTTGATTTGAATAATCGCATGATGGTTCTTTACTAGAAGATAAGAGCCTCCATTCAGACCAAGTAATGACAAAGGAATAGAAAGGAGCGAGAGATAGCGAGGCGCGAACAAGGGAGAGACAGAGAGTGAAAAGAAAGAAGAAAAAGAAGAAGGGTTAAGTGCGGGTGAAGATAGTGAAGAAGGCCGACGTCGCTTGCAGAGATGACACTACTACTGCAATGAAGCTGCTTATTTCTCGTGTGTGGGAGGCTTTATCTCTTCTGGTGCGAAGGGAAGGAAAAGAAGAGGGATGAAGAAAGCTTTGCATCACGGCCATGTCTGGGGCTTAGAACCTTCAAGATTGGAATGAACGATCAAACAGTAAAGCTTTTAAATAAAAGGCAAGTTCAGTAATTGAAAAGACAAATTTTTATTTATTAATTAAATTGCTTAGTTAGCACCATTGCAAGAGATTGATTGTAATAACTAAAAATTATTATTATTATTATTATTATTATTATTATTATTATTATTATTATTATTATTATTATTATTATTATTATTATTAGGTTGATTTGAATAATCGCTTGACGGTTCTTTACTAGAAGATAGGAGCCTCCATTCAGACCAAGTAATGACAAAGGAATAGAAAGGAGCGAGAGATAGCGAGGCGCGAACAAGGGAGAGACAGAGAGTGAAAAGAAAGAAGAAAAAGAATAAGGGTTACGTGCGGGTGAAGATAGTGAAGAAGGTCGACGTCGCTTGCAGAAGATGACACTGCTACTGCAATGAAGTTGCTTATTTCTCACATGTGGGAGGCATTATCTCTTCTAGTGCGAAGGGAAGAAGAAGAGGAGGGATGAAAAAAGCTTTGCGTCACGGCCATGTCTGGAGCATAGAACCTTTAAGATGGAAATGAACGATCAAACAGTGAAATTTAAAAGTTTTTATATTCATTTTCTATCACTAACAGTTTATAATACAAAAAATAATTGAAAAAACCCATTAAAAAGAGCAATTTAACTAGTAAATAAAAATTTATCTTTTCGATTACTGAACTCTCCTTTTATTTAAAAGCTTAAACCTGAAAAATATTAGAATAATATAATGAGTTATCTAAGATAACTCAATGAAGCACTTACACTTCTAAACTACATTAGCCCATGATAAAAAGGCAATATATATGTTGGTATTTTCTAATATGTTCTAAAAAATTATATATTAACGTAAATCATACATTCATGATATTTGCACATGGAAGAAATCTAAATATTTTTATATGCATCGAGTTTTAGTTTATTTTTCAGGATTTAATCTTTAACTTTAGTATATTTCATATATTTAATTTTCACATTTGTCTCAAAAGTACTATCTACACAACCTAACACACTATTCTGTTAGCACATCAAGATCCAAAATATTGTTAACCTCATTTTTCGATCAACCCTTTCGCCTGGTTTGTATTTAATTAGATTTCACTTCAGCTAAATCTTGAGTTAAACCCTAATTTAATAAAACTAAAATCAAACTAAACGAAATTAAAATCAACCAAATTAAAACAAATCCAAATATAACCCGCACTAATTCGTAAAATTTACTGGAATAAATCCTAATCGACATAAACTCTGAAATTATCATTTTCTCTTCCCAGATCATTAGACTCAAAATTTCATATTGAAAGTTGCATAATTTTCATTATTATAAAAAAAAAACATGCAAACAAGTTCGATGATTGTTTGATAAAATTTTTACATAAAACTCCGCACAAATTTTCCATGCATGAATAATGTTCTCTTCAAACCCTAAAATTATTGTTTTCCCAACAGGTCAATCTGGTGGTGGAAATTATATTTTGTAAGTTGCATAATCTTCATAATCAAATATGATGAGCATGCAAACCAATTTGATAGTCATCGAAAACCATTTTTACATAACATTTTGCACTTAAGGTGTTTATGAATGAAAATTAATCTCATATAAATATTTTTTAACAATCAATATTTTTCAAAACGGACTTCGCCAATGCGTTTGTATCGTTGAAATCTTTCAAATGAACCTCTCTGTGCACAAATCCAACTCCATTTGAAGGCTCATTGAGCTGACAATTGTCAAGACCATAAAATGATAATTTTGATAATAAAAAAGAATAATTGCAAACAATTAGCTCAAAACAAAATCAAATAATTATAAATTAAATCACATTATGAAAAAGTTCATAATATGATTGAAACAATTTGATAAGTTTTCCCTCTTATCAATGGACCATGATGATAGAATGAAGAAGGTTAACAAGTCGAAATGCACACCAATATAAGAGTTGGCCACCAAAACAACTAACTTTAAATTTGAAACAATTTGGTGGCAAATCCAAGATGAAGACCGCACTGAATTACAACACTAACAAAGAAGCATGTCACACTGCAGTGAGAAATCCTTGAGGCCCAATTATCCATTGGAGAAGAGATTTTAGTAGTTACATTCAAATTGTATCAACAAAACAAAGTTAATATGGTGGCAACAAATTAAAAATTCTAACAAGTTGTGTTATGATGGCCACAATTGAAAATTTTACAAGAAGCACTACGGTAGAACACAAAGGTCAGCGAGTATCTCTAGTAAAACTAACATTGTGTTTGATTAAGAAATGACAAATATGAGAGTTGATAGAGAAAATTTATTGATTTATTTAATTATTGTATACTTAATATATACAAAATGCTGTAGATGTAAAAAGATAAAATTCAGAGAAATGGATGCAACAAAGAGAAATGGATATTGATGTGTCATAAATAATTTTTTATTATCGGGTGGGAATCTTGATGCTTTTTTAGCAACAAATATTTGGGTCGCTGTTTTAATAGATTCATAGTAAACTGAGCATCCAGAAAATACAAATCTAATGACAACAAAATGATATAATCTAATTCCAAATGAACTCAAAGCAGACACTTGAAGTAGGCATTGATGCATCAATTGAAAGATTAAATAATTTTTAAATCTAACCTACTTATAATCAAATCAAGAAGCTAAACAAGTAGAATCGAATGAGTCTGAGGTTATCTAATTTCAAGATCGTTAAGGCAAATAAATGTTGAAAAATTTATATGTGATCACAGGAATCAATTTAGACCTTCCGATATAGTGTTTTTAAATTTTCGCTAAATTTATTAAAATTTTCCTCTCAAAAACTATAAATATACTCTCATTCTTCACTTAAACAAGGAAGAAAACAAATGAGTAAACTGACAACTAAAACATTACAATTAAATAGAAGTACATGTGAACGACCATCAGCCATTGCCGACCACAACTATGGCTAGCCACCAACTATAACTTCTGTAGCCAAATATAGTTATTCCAGCCACCAACTTTAGTTTTTGCAACTAATTATGATGGTTATAGCAAAATTACTATTATAAAATTGTGGTTGTCTATTTTTGTAATCTCATCTTTCTAATTCAAGGATAGTGAACATTTGTACTTTCAATTTCCTTTAGGATTATTTTGACTGAGTCTAGTCCTGTAATTTTATTTCTTTCTACAACATTTTTACATAAAAAATTTAGTTCTCTCTTACATTTCTATTTGTGTGTGTTGAAAATAATACCAAGCTAAGACATACATTTTTCTATCGTTGAGAATTTTCTAATACACAATACATATGGTACACAAATTGTAGTAACTTTCGAAAGAAGATATCTAGCGCAGGGAATAACAATGACATGATAGTTTCTTAATGTCGACATCTTCACTGAAAAGGTGCACCTTCCTTTAAAACCATATACACATCTCAAAGGTAACCTCATGAATAATTAAAGGTCAAAACGGAAAGGTAAGGTTCTAAAATCCTTTTTTTTTTTTAATTTATACTTAACTCGCTCAGCTGTTTATTATATGGTTTTTATTAACCGTCCATCATCTCCACAACAATCCAAGAAAATTATGTTGGTGTTTCTGGTTGTAGACAAATTAACTAATTGATCATCAAGCCATCACTGCTTCGATAGCTTATTACTGTTGATCATAGGCCAAGCAATAGCTTAATCCAATCCATCATTTACGGTTATTAACTGCAAGAATCAGGATGCATGCGCCATATGTTTTCAACCATTGCATTGCCAAGCAATTAAAACTCATTATATATTATCCCAACAAATATGGGCTTCTTCCCTGTTTCTTTCACTATCTATGAAGTCAGCACCACATTATATCTCTCGTTTTGAAGAAGCGGAATTTAACTTGTCAATTCAGTGCATACCAAAGGCACAAACAGCAGTGTGAAGCAGCCGTAAAGAATAAAAAATCCAAAAAAAAAAAAAAACACAAACACAATCACACCCATTACCATTGGTTCGCTTCAAGACTTTCAAGAACATCTGCACTCACTCTCATAAGTTCACCGCAATCTCCAAATGAGATGGAGCTCCCAACTTGCAATAGCTCCGGACCCTCATTCCCTAAACGCGAGATTTTACAAGAAACCAACGAACAGAGCACTGATACCATGGTCTCGATAAGGCGGTCGATCCGAGCGCTGCAGACCTACGAATTCCAAAAAGAAGCTTGTGAGAGTCAGAAAATAGACAGGAAAATAGCAGAATAGAAAGTGGGAGAGATAAGAAGGACGCCTCGGTTGTTTTCAGGCACATAAGGGAGAGCGCTGCGTCCAAAACCCTAGTCCCAGAAGAGGAGTGATCGATTGAGTTAAGAGATTTGGTGAGGGAGGCGATGACCATAGATGTTCCAGCGTTTTCATGGTCGTCGAAGTCGGCATTGGGTCGATGTACTTCACCGGCGATCTTCGCGAGTAAATGTGTGAGCTCCAGTATGCCGCTCATGGAGCGCACACTCCGGAATAACAGAACCCCCGAAATACTCCCAATTAATCCAAAAAATATTACATGTGGAGTCACTAACAGAGTTACGAGCAGAGTCCAAATAAAACCAGAGGAGAATATTTCGAATAACATAGGTGATACAGTTATTCCCCCCATACTATTTAGTTGTTATTATATGTTATTCATGTGCTATTATGTTCTGAGAATATTTCTGATATTATAATAATATAATAACACATTAATAATAATTGAATAACACACAATAACACTTGAATTACAGAGGAGAAATATTCTTCTGCGTTTTTGGACGGATTTTTGTTTTCTCACATTTATGTGTGTGGTCTGATTTCATTGGACTTCGCACGTAACTCTACGTGTGGAGTCCTGATGTAATATTTTTTTCAAATTAATCACATTCAAAGATGGCATTCATGTGGCGTTAGAAATAGCTATAAAAGTATGAAGTTAAAATTTTATTATTTATTTATTATTAATTTCGATGGTTAAATTTGATTATTTATGACATAGAATATTTAATTATGCAAATATCTCTATTTTACTTTCTATTTAAAAGAATAAAAGTGTAAAATTTCATTTTGCAATAAAAGAAACGTTCACGTTGCTTGTTGAGGAATGAGGAGCTACCTTTTTTTTTGAAAAATCTATCACAATTCAAGTATTTTAAACATTTTCTTTCAAGAAATCGGACAATGACTTTCTACCACACACTAACAAATCTAATTGTAAAAAACATATTTTTTTCTCAAAAAATTGTGACTTTAAATCATGATTTTAAAAATTGAACTGAATGAACCGATATAACCAATTCAATTGTGAACAAAATCTTCGGTTAATTCGATCTCGGTCAAACACAACTTCTATGCATAACATTTTGATGAACCAATCAATTCTAATATTGATAATTTTTAAACTTATTATTTTAATCGAACAACTAGAAATAAAAAATTTTGTTTTAAAAATAAGAAAGTAGTTGAAATATCATCTTCTAAAATTTTGATTTGAATTCATACCCAAAACATTGAGATTAAAATGTTCTAAATTGAAATATTTTATATTAAATTAGCAAAAATATGATCATTTTATCATTATAGTATTATTTAAATCATATAAAAATAATTTTAATATTTATGATATCATTTGATTTGACTCCAAATGAACCCTTGAATCTTGAACTTCTTCTTTTGGCAATCTGATTTTCACAATTTATTTTAAAAGTAAAACAGTGAGAAATGTGCCCCAAGTGTGCCCTCAATTTATACCATAAAGAGTTATTATGATATGATATAGCATATTATTAAATATATTAATTAAGAGAGTAACTAAGATATGACACATGATTATATGGTTTATATCTGTATGGCATTTTTTTTTCCTTTTTGTATAGCATTATTTTAAAGTAGGGAAATTGTGTGATCAAGCAAGAGTACTCATTTGATACTTATATTGAAATTTTTGGGAAGGCTTGCCTATATAGTGATACTTGACCATATAATTAATATAAATCCTATCCTTTTAACATAGGGAAAATACTTATGGCCTACACCAATACAGAGTAGTGAAATAATCACTTTGATATTGGATTTATCGTAGAATAGTATTTTTGTCTATCATAACGATATACTATTTCTTTGATGTCCACTTTGATCACAAGTGAGAAATTTCAAAACTTTTGTGAGTGGTACCCCACAATGCAAACACACATCAACTCTTAAATTAGTTTTGAGTACAAAACCATCGAATATTACATGAATAAATATTTTTAAATAAAAATGCTTTTATTACATATTATAAATGATTCTTTATCATATGAATATCTTTAAAGTATTATTTCTTCTAATCATGCATCAAACTAACACAGATTTAAGTTTTTATTATTAATCATAAAACCCTTGCACTTGATTACATGTACAAGAGCCAAGTTTGGTGTCCTACTCTTGAGTAGTTCTTAAGATATTCTTCTCATTTATAAACTTTTTGCTAATCATTTTGAATGATAAAAATCAAACATCACTTCTTTCACCAAATCTAAATTACAAATGTTGAATTTATTAATTAACTCACTCTTTTGTCCTAGAAATTTAGGCCTACTGAATCCAGTGCGATCAACTACTATAATAATCACTTACGACTTTTGTTCCAACCTCATCGTACTAATTGGTATAACGAAATTCACATATAGTATTTATAATGGTCTAGCAATGTTGATAGTTTTATAAGTATTGAACAATGATTTAACATTTATTCTTAACTACCATGAATCACATAATTGGTATAATATCGCGTTGGTACACATTTAATTAGATATGATGGATGATTATTCTTTGGACGTGCATGTGAAAATGACCGTTTTCTAAGTAATAGCTAGGATTAATATAGTTTAACTTTTAAGTAGGATGCGTGACTAGTTTCACTAACGCTATCAATATCAAGCATGTATAAATTGTCTATCATATTTTTCTATATGATTTTATCATTTACTTCCAATAGATGCGTAGTAGATATAAACTCTATTTCAAAGCTTTTATCACATGGTTGATTTCAGCATTTTTTGTCCCAAGAAATCAAATAATAATAAATTATTACTTTTGCCAATAAATGCAATACCAATTCTGTTTATTATTGTGTTATTGCAAAAAGTTACTCCATAACCATATCAACACTTACTAAAACCTTTAAATGTTCTCAAATGCCTATCAATGCCTTGTCATCCCATGGTCCAAGACCTTAACACTCATTGTCATTCTTGAAGTCTAAATTTGAATTATAACAACTGCCTAATTAGATCATCACGCCATGACACTCAAGGTTTAGCATAGTGATGCTACTACGATGTTGTGGCATTTAGGTGACAATGTCGAGGCATTGAGCTCTCTATCGTTTTACTTCAATTTTATTCCAAGATAATGTTGTGGCTCTAAAGGTTAGCTCTGCAATGCTACATGATTATGCTATGATGTTCTGGACTGGCGCTATGTCACATTGCTCTCGGGAAACTTGTTAGAAAAATTCTCAACATGGTGCCATATTATGATAGTAGCATTGTAGCACTAATGCTCAAACTTCATAAAGCCTTTATACTTCTTATCTTGAGGGTCATGGATTAAAATAATATTTGCACAAAAACATGTAATTATAACAACTAGTTTAGGCAACATTTTGAGTATTTGTCTCACTCATCACCTAGCTCTGGGTTGACTTCATAGGTCTATACTATAATGATATATAATATTCATTTATAGTAGATTAGTTGTGGACATTCTTCTTCAAGTTAGTCGGCTCATAATGCATCATATCTCTATTCAACCTCCTCGGTGATTTCTTCCATTCTAGCTACCATGTGCATTAAGAAAAAAAAATTTCATCTTCAACCATATAAAGTATTTTTGTGAAAATGATACTATGTTTTTCATGTTTAATTAAGAAGAATTAAGTTCATAATAATCAAAAGCAAAGCTTCTGCACATTAGCTTTTTCAAAACAGTATAAAAAGATCTTTTTAAGTCTATATTTTTAAAGTCATCAAGAATTCCATGCTTTTGGCCATCTTCTAAAACTCTTTAATAGATGAGGATTCTGAAAAAATGCAACTCAGTGCCAAATGCATACTAAAATTTTTAAATATTGTGTTTTTTTTCTCTATTATGGAAAACAAAAGACTATCCTATATTCTCTTTGAACAATCATTAATATTCAAACATGATTGATTTGTGTTTTATGTATATTCAATCATTATTTAATCATTTTAAGACAATTCAATTACCAATCAAATAATGATTGAACATGCTTTAATTTATGTTTAACCATGATTGAATTGCATTTGATCATGCTTGAAAATTATTCAAAGGTAGTTCAAATATTTGATCATTATTCAATAAAATTACTAGTTTGCACTATGATATTTGCTAGTGTTTTGAGATTATAATATATTAGCTAGTATTTTAAGTTTAGGATTTAGAGTGTGAATGTTATATTTAATCAAAAATGAAACACAATAACTAAATTATTAAACTTCGTAACTGATGAAGGTGAAACTCTATCAATATGTGATATCACCATAGCCCAAACATAACACCATAAGTAGAGAAGGTATTAAGAGAGAAAGGGTTAAAGAACTCCAAAGATTGAAATATTGCATAATTGTTTAAAAAGATCAAACTACTAGTTACAAAACGGGGATATTAAAATCAAGCACATTTTTTTCCAAAATAAATCTTGAGGTGTATATCTACAAGGAAATAAATAGTGGGAATATTCTCTAATTTTTGTTAACATGTGTCATATAAAGTAAAAAAATTCATTTAGAATACACTCCATAGGCAGAGAATCAACCTCTTTTTTGGGGGGCAAACTTTCCCCCAAACCCAATGTGAGAGAGGCTAAGGCAAGTAGGCAACAAAGAGCAGCGTGATATTTAAGGAGAGGTAAAACTGATATTTCAGGAGAAGCAGATAGGCAACTAAGAGCAAAGCGATATTTAAGGAGGGACAAATAATGAAATTGCCTTATCATATAGATAAAAATTCGAATTTGTGAGGGGGCAATTGCCCCTCTGGACCATTCCTGGGTCTACCACTGTACATATGTTATTTAGCATGTATTCAAATTTGATTGAATTGAGCATATTTGAAATACACCATCATTCATGACCTCGCATAGCATGATATTGCATCATCATCATACCTCATTTTACCTTCTTAGACAAATTTATATTGTGTCTTGACATTCTCATTCCGCTCATTCATTGTTTAACATCGTGTCTTCTTAGAGTTGTAGCATCTTCAATATTCCAAGGTGTGACCTGTCTCACACCTCCATCAAGATTGCCCCCCTTATCTTAATCATCCATTATCTAAGTTCGATTAATGCTATCCTAACTAGCTCCTGCGTAATATGTCAATCATGTCGAAGCCATATTAGGAGGCTCCCATCTAAATCTCATGGTGATGCAGGATCATCCTTTTTTTTTATATTTTTACTTTTGAATTTTATTAGTTCAACAAAATAAAAAAAATTTATTGACTTGAAAAAAATGCATTTTTGTTATATTATATTTAGACTATGCCTAATTTTCTTTTACTCAAAAGCAAACACCTCTTAAATGTAAACCCATGGCATATATGATGAGTTATAATTGTGTAGCTGTCGATTGTCTAATATTATTTGTTGTTGAAGTATATTGTAAATAAAATACTTTAAAATATATTTTTTTTGGTTTGACGGTGGTAAGGTGCTTGCAGGTGCTGGACGAACGGCAATTGCAGAGTGTCGATAGCGACTTGACGATAGCATTTTATAGTGCAACTCAAATTCAACCGAATTCTAAATTCAACCAAAACGAACTAAGGTGTAAACTTCAAGTTTATTAATACTTTATATTATATTTGTAATTCATCGTACCAAAGATAAAATTTTTTAAAATCTCCGTAAAAGAATTACAGTACACTTAGCCCTTGAGAAGTAATTGTATATTACATTAGTCAAATTCATCGATCTATCCTTAATGATGATCTTAATTATGAAATTAACTTGAATAGAAATGCATATACATTTAGAAAGTTCTCTATAATGGTTTTAATATATATATATTTACTGAAATTAAATAGTGTTTATCTAAAAAAACAATAGAAATCCTTTCAAAAGAAAACGAGATACAGCAGGGGTGCAGCACAAGGATACAACCAATCGACAAGTGCGTATCACTAACACTGGTCCCGCGGGAGTCATCCGTATTTATTGTCGGTTAGTCATGCAGTAAATCAGAAAGTGTAAATTTGTTAAAAAATTCATTTTCAAGTAAACTGTATTGTAAGACAAATGCCAATCACTATCCTCATTAGAGCCATAAAAGATCGTTCCTTTTATAACTCAAGTGCTCGTTCAGTTGTAATTTGAGAATATAAAGGCTAGAATTTATTATTATATTGTCTATTTGATTGTTTGAGGCAACTGTAGTTTTTTTTAAGAATCAACTGTAAAGTTAATATTCAAAAAGTTGAGGTGGCTATTGCACTTTTTTTTTCAAAAAATCATATCATAATTTTTAGCAGTCATCACACAGCCGGATCATGTTACAAAATGCAGCTTCCCACTGTAACTTTTTGAAAAAAACTGACACCATAGTTTTGCCAAATAATAAAAAAAAAATAGTGATGCGGTTTAGCCAAATTATATTATTTGAAGATCCAAGAGGGAACACAATTTTGATAGTTGGAGAGTAACTAATGTTAAATAGGGTCCTCACTAAAAAGCCCTAAAATGAAATTTGCAATACATGGATTCCAAAGTTAAAATACTATATATATATATATATATGCATAACAATTCGAGTACCACCTCTTTAAGGTCAACTGTGCCAGAGGGAATTCGAACCCCCTACCTGAGGGGTCTTATATCATGGATATCAACCAATAGACCGGGGTACGTATATATTCAAAGATTTGCCGGAAGCTATTATACAAGCCTCCCGACCAACCTCATGTGCCTGAGAATTCCACCCCGCACACAGAATGGATCGAACCCATGCCCTAGGGTTTTACAAACTCTACCAATCGAAGAGTCACGGTAGGCGACATATATATAGATATATAGTCTTTCGTCCAACCTCATGTGCCTAAGAATTCCACCCCACACATATAATAGGTCGAACCTATGACCCCAGGAGTCTTACAAACTCTACCAACCGAAGAATCACGGTGTATATATATATATATATATGTAGTCATGTTCATGAATTGTCATTTGTAAATTATGTAAAACCAACCACCTAGAGTGATTGTCATTTGTAGTAATTATAGGACATTTTCTAACATTTTTGTGATATGTCACAACATATTTTGATGTTTTGCAACAGATTTTGACATTTTCAATTCCTGAAAAGGCCTGCAGTGCAAATTTTGAGCAACAGAATTCTTTAGAGGGAATTTTATTTTCAAAAACATAGTAACAAAAACTCTAAAAAAATAAAATTACAGTTGGAGGAATTAGTTCACGTACACCAGGAGGTTCATGTGATCAAGCTTTGGGATTTACTTTAGGCTGCAAATTTCAAATTAAATTCTTGTTGTGTCTGATCAGTTAACATTTAACTTACATTACACAGCTAGAATTGAATTTCTAATAATTACAAAACAAGAATTACAAAAATATGATCAATGCCTCACATCTTATCAGACCAACAAATTTCTGATACAACTTAATCGTCCACATCAAATCAAGACCTTGAAAATAGTGCCTTATGCAGTTATGTTCATGAATTAGAGAAATCATAATCTGCGATCAACGACAAAACAACACAAACAATTATTTGATCAACCAATCCAGCCAAGAATAGATAGGTTAATTGAACTAGCTGAAGGAGAGAATCACTCAATCACTTCTCAATCAAGTGAGACTAGGATTTAGTGCATTTTATGATGATAAGAAAGATACATTCTTCAAGATGATTCAAAATAAGGACCAAATTATTCGCCATAAATAGACCACAACTTTCTTCATTTGTTTTCAAATACTTAATTTTGAATATTGATGTCATAAGGAACTCTAAAGTCGTAGGGAATTCTACAGCCATCAGACAACCTCCGTGGCATTACCATCAGCAATCCTATACCTTCATTGGTAACTACCACTTGCCAATCAACATCTACGAATTGACACCAGCCATATCACAATTCATACCAACATCCTAGCCAGACAACCGTTCACCTAAAGGTGTCAAATCGAGTTCAAGGGTCGGGTTCAGTTTTGACCCAACAAAAAACTGCTTGATTTGAACCCGATCAAAATCTTAACTGGGTCATAAAGTCTAATCTGAACATGATCTGCCTTCAACCCAAATGCCCCGAATACAACTTGCATACTCATTTAGTATATGCATGGTAGTTATTTGGGTTAGATCCAAGTTAATTTTGAGTTACGTTTGAGTCAAATGTGGGCTGGAAGGTGTGACTCAGGTCAACATTGGATTGACGGATCAGATTTGCATCAATTTTGAGTTGGATCTACACAGACCCAACATAAAAAAATTAAAGATGTTAGAGTTTTGAACCCGAAACCGACTCAAAATGGTTCGTGTCGAGTTGGCATTTTGATACCCCTATCTTAACCATTTACTTGGTTTTGTCAAAGGCCACCCTTGACTAAATGCTGTTAATTGGCACCTGTCATATCTCACTGACGTTAGCAACTCCAACAAAGTCACCAACAGACCAAGTTCCTACATTGTAATGTCTCATCTTCTTCATTCATTAAGCACGATAAATCTTTGTAATTTCAAATCAAGATCAACAAAAACTAGTTTAATTAAGCAAGGCTAGTGAATATTTCTCTCATTGAATTTTTCACATAACAAATCTCTATCCTCATCATGTACAACTTTACCATCGATATCTTTGCGTGACCCAAGCTTCATGCAAATTAACTCAAAACTTTTTACCAATCTTGCTAACTTTAGCACGCAATGATTCTTTACATGAACAAAATAAAATTTGCATTACATCAAAACACTTTAAGTTGTGTGGTTTTCAATCCTAAGTTCCCACTCTTAAAGCTAACGATAAATAAAAGTTAATCTCAAGTCCATAATTACATTTTGGGCATCACAATAGGAAAATTATTGAAATGAGAAATAACATAAAAATTTTAAAAAAACTTATCATGTGGTTTCAACCCTCAAAGTAGAGACAATAATCCATGGTCTAGGTTCCAAAGAAAAGCATGGCATTTATAGCTCTAGCAAAAAATGAAAGAATGAAAAAATAAACCATAAATTTCGTCTCAAGCATTCAAAACTACCTAGGAACTTCATCTATCAATCCTAACATTGGATCCCTCAGCCTCCTCTGAGATTAAATTCTCATCAATCTATTTTCAGAGAAGAATAGATCCTCCTGACAAACCATAAGCAGGAATAGAATCCAATTGTGCCAGTCAGCACAAAAAAGGCATAGGACACAATCAACATATAGCCAAAGTAAAGAACAGCAGATACAACCTTAGTTATCTCTAGCTTGGTGAAGAAATAATACGCTGCATATAAGAAAATGTAGATTGCCGAAGATCCGGCAGTTAGATAAGCCCTCCACCACCACCTGTGATCTTCACCGCACAACTGGAAGTAGCAAAGCACAATCGTGATCTCAGCGCATGTTATGAGAAGAATCATGAAGACAATGAACAGGAAACCAAAGATGTAGTAGAACTGGTTCAGCCATATTGATGTCAGGATGAAGAACAGCTCAATGAAAACTGCGCCAAATGGAAGAATTCCGCCGACCAAGATCACGAAAACAGACTGCATGTACCAAGCCTGCTCAGGTACCTGCCTGGAGATTTTGTTAGTTTTTACTGGGTCTTCAATGGCTGGCTTCATGAATCCAATATAGCTTCCAACAAAAACTAAGGGCACCGATATTCCAAACCATAAGAAAACCAAAGCAAACATGGTGCCAAAAGGAACCGCACCAGAAGACTTCTCCCCCCAAATCAAAGCATTCAGAACAAAGAAAACGAAGAACACAATGGCAGGGAAAACCAAGGCTGTATTTACGGTGTTTTTCTTCCATTCTATACCTTTGAACATTTTGTATAGACGAGCGGAAGAGTATCCGGCAAATAGACCCATTAAAACCCATAGGATGACCATTGCAGTCATCAGCCCACCGCGGTTAGATGGGGACAGAAAACCCAGTAAAGCAAATATCAAAGTAACTACAGTCATCCCTAAGAACTGTACCCCGGTTCCAACATAAACACAAAGAAGACTATAGTTGGCTGGTGGCCTAAAAACATCACCATGGATTAGTTTCCAACCAGATTCTTCCTGGGCTTCGTCGTGAGGATCTAGTTGATTGTAGTTAGCAATATCTCTGTAAAGAGTTCTCATCATAATCATGGCGACCATCGCCGAGAGAAAGAGTACAATCATGAGAGAGTTAATAATTGAAAACCAATGAATGTGATCATCACTCATGAGAAGGTAGGTGTCCCAACGAGAAGCCCATTTGATATCACTTGGCTGCAGGGAAAATGGAGAACAATAAGATATGTTCAAGGCATAAAGGACTATCCGACTGAATTGAGCACGAACCTCGAAGGTAACGTCATAAGTGAACACAATGAATGTATCTGGAGCGATTTCCTGAGGAGTCTGGCTACCGGGAATTATTTTTAAATTAGTGTTGCAAGTCGTCAATTTAGTGTTCATATCATCCCATTCAGTGTACTCATGTTTTACACTGTTGGAAGAAGTGAATAAACAGAAAAGGATATGAAGGCCTACTGATGAAAAGTGTAGTAAGAATGATAGTGAACGATACTGTAGCTAGTACAATTTGATGACCGATATGATCAGCAAAAAAGTACTTGAGGACAAGTATGAAACCGCTAAAAGATTGCAATATTGAATAAGTAAATATAAAAATCAAGGAGGATTCATAATATTAGACATGCATGCCAATTAACCTATGTAATAAAAACTTTCATAAAAATGCATCACTGAAAAAATTTCAATGGAAATACATCGTACAAATCAATTTCATTACCTTTGGTTATTTTCAAAACAAGATATGCCAATGAACTCACAAAATTCATTAATAAGGTCAATATAATATTAACTTGAGTGTCTAGTCTGGCTTTTTATGTGATGATTGATTTCCTTTCCGAAGAAAAACAACATTATCAGATCATGGTTTTAATGTGTAGACATGCATGTTTGAATAACCAAAGTAAGACAGGCTGCTCCCTCTTTTATCTACCCTCATCCATCATGACCAAACTAATTCTAGTCCACAGTCTTAGCAGTGTGTTGATCTTTTTCCTCTCCATTTCAGGTGCCAGAGCTGAACTAAAGCAAAAGTCATTTTACACTTTTATCTTGCACTCACTAAGGCATGCAATTTTGATTTCTAAGTTCAAAACTATTTGAATAAAATGTGGTTTCATTCCTTGCCATCTATATATTTCAAAAGTCATTACAATTTTTTTTTTCTTTAATTAGTGTTAAAATCAGTGCCCTTTCAAAACTCATTACAGATCCTGAACAATCACTGCAGCTAAAATCACCTACATGCAACTTTCATACATACTTAATAGCAGATAACATAACATAATGTTAAGATTAAATTTTAAAATAATTGCTAAAACTGAATAAATAGAAGCAGCCATATTTCACAATTCTTCTACAAAATTTAAATGGGGCCGTGCAAACATCATGGTAGTCATTTTAGACAATGAGTAAAGCTAGACATATACAAAAAAATTCTTCACCTGCTTGGAATGACCTCAAAGCCAACAATACGTCCTTCATCAGCATCTAAATCTTTATGGTACATGACTTTAAAGTTCAAGTGGTTATTGATATAATATTTCTTATTTTTACTCTGAAGAATAAAAAAATGCATTTAATATATTATACGAGAATAAACATACCATAGAGCTAGAAACAGCATACTTTATATTTTTCCTAGCCTACCTTTATACCCACACGGAAACCATGCTCATAAGTGAGATCATGATTTCCATCTTTCCTTTGCCTAGGAACTGCAGCAGGAAGATTATCCAAAATCCTACAAAATGCAATCAAGTGGAATACATTTAACAAAATTAAAAAACTAAAGCAATTAGTGGTGTAATCTAAGAACAACACTGAGAGCAACAATGAGAATATGAATTTACATATTAACTCGATATTCGTCATCAATCTTTTCTTTGAATCTCTTTGCAGCCTTTTGGCTAAGCTTTACACGACATGCAACTTTGCAAGTCTCATCCTTCCTCATTTTAAACTGACACATTTGATAAATGACAAACAAATGTTAATATGTATTGCAAGGTAGTTTTCAATATTACCTTTTATAGTGACTCTAAAAGTTCCCTTGCCATAGTTCTAAAACATAGCCTCGCAGGAAATGTTAAAAATACTCACTAAATAAACAGAATTCTCAATGCGATCCCCACGAAGAACCTCCCCGAGATTCTCTGCACTATTCCTGATCTTGGAGGGTTTACAATAATCTAAGAAATAGTAGACATATGGAAGTTGTGTCTTCGTAGAGGAAAGCTTATTTACTTTTACTTGTAATTCATCACCCTGTGTTTGCAAAACAAAAATTAATTGTTCAGTAAAGATTGATTCATCACTACTACATTTTTAAAATATAGTTCATAAACCAAAATTATAAACAAGAATATTATGCATGCAGTTCAAGAAATGAAGTATGAATAATAATATCACATAACAACTATGATAGAATGTTGCAGTAGCATAAACGCATTTTCAGATTGCAAAATAGAGAAGTCAGAAGCATTCGCATTAAATCATATAACACAATGAACATTTTAAGGTTTTTGCGGAATTAATATTTTAACCACATAACATAATGATAAAACAATACAAATGATCAGATTAAAACACTTTAGAAAATGACATAAAAATTCAATTTAGGGCAAACATTAACGCAGAAGAGAAACTATTGTTAGCCATTAGCTTTCATGTTTGTGGCCTGGTACATGGAATTAAACTCCCTTCAAATGCAATTCCCAAAACCAGACCTTGAATTATGTTAATATTGCAATTCAATACTATCGACGGTTCTTAAAGAATTTAAGCACACCAATAACACTAAGAAAATAAAATTCATTGACAAAGCATCCAAACAAACATAATTAAATTATATTATTGTTGTACAAACAAACCATATAAAGAGTTTTCATCCATATCCCCGCAAATTTACTTCACAATATGGCATGCACTATCATTAAAAAGTTTACTAATTTCTCACTGCTAAACTTGATAGCTCCAACCTAAAGACAGTCTATAACTCTGGCAATTTTCAATCAGCTATTGTAAACGACAACTCTAAAATAAAGAATCAACTGTTACTTAATCAAACGTTACTTGGGCAAATTGGGGTGTTCAGGCTCCACTGAGACAACAATCTACTGGTTTCCAAATAAAAAAAATCCAGTTCCAAGAACTTTTGAGGGGTTCATAGCAAATTCAACAGCAGAAAATTCATCAAGAAAATAATAAAATTAAATAAGTAATTTCTTGAAACAAACATAGTACGATTGCAATAACAGCAATAAAATTTTGATTAAAATACCATGCATTTCACAATGGCAAAAATACACAACGCAGCACATCAAAACAAAAAAAAAACCACACTCTACCCATCACATGTCTAGATCCAAGAGAAATAACAAAATGAGATTCCAGATCTCCTAACGGAAACCAAGCGACTGCGAAAACCTAACAGATCAGGACAAAATGGCATTACGTTCTGAAAATCGCGAGGCGAGACTCCTGGAAGGTAGAAGGCCAGCGATGAATCGCATAGAAGTAGTAGAAGAATAAATGAGATTGAAACGGTATTAGCCGCGATTCTCTTGTGGAACTCCATTCCCCGCGAGGGAGAGAGCAAGAGGGAAGTGCAGGAAAGTGTGAAGGAGGGTAAGTTCGATGGATAATGTCAAGCTGTTGTGACGATTTTTTAATTTAATTAAGAATAGAAAAGATGGAAATTATTTCCACTTCGGCCGCCGATCAGATCGCAACCATCTGGCTTCATGTGGCAAGAGGGTAGCACACTCATCATCAATCGGCCCGGTATAGAGGGAGCAAAAACAAATTAATGAGCAGTAATTTGCATAATTTTTATTTATAAAATGAATTTCTTATTTATAAGAATGATTTCTTGTATACACACTGTATTTCTGGTATTTTAGTCCATACATTAATATCACCCATGAGCCCACAAGTCCGGCCGACCGACTATCATTAGGCCAGGCAGCTAGAAGGTCGGGCTACTGCATGGTCGGGTGGCCACTATGTTGGGCGGCCACTTTCTGAAAGTTCCCATCAACGGCCTTGGAGTTGAAGGGCGACATGCTCGGACAGATCTAAACAGTTGAATTCTTCAAGGGTGATTCATCAGTTGTGCATCTGAGAGGCAACGTTTCCACGACAAAAAGCATGCAAGTGGATTAATTATTCTATCATACCAATTTACTATGGCTAATGAAATTTATCAGGCAAAGTTTTCAGAACAAATTAATTCATATACCATAATAAATCAAGTGATGTTTTTTTTTTTTTTTTTTTTTTGCCAAGTGCAGGAAGGGGATAGAGAGTTTTCTTTTGCCAAGTGCAGGAAGAGGATAGAGAGAGCTAGGGTTAGGGTTTGGGTCATTGGAGGTGAAGTGGAAGTGTGTTTGTGTGAGTGTATGTTTTGATCATATATTTTATTAGATATTTAGTGAATGTTGCAATTACTTAAGCCTTGTATATGTTTTATACGTCTTCGCAATTAAATTTGTGAAAATATTCATTCCCCGTGCCCCTACCCCCAAAAATAGGGCTGTCAAAACGGCTTGTTGTTTTCGAACAGCTCGTGTTCGACTCGTTAAGAAGCTCGTGTTCGGCTCATTAATTTCGTTCGATAAGTTAACGAGCACGAGCCGAACACAAACTAAGATGTGTTCGTTTGTGTTCGGCTCGTTTTGGCTCGAAATACTACTCATCTAATTTATATATATATATATATA